AGCATCAACTGCCTTGAATAGTACAAGAACTGAGGTTAGCCATTTGTAGCTACTATTTTGAGCTAAGAGACCAGCTGAGAGAGAGATTGATTTGCATGCTTGATAGGTCCTGAGAATGGGCAGCTGTTAGATAAGGCAAATGAAGGGACTTCCTTCAGAAATATCATGCCAAAAGATAGGNGTCCTGAGAATGGGCAGCTGTTAGATAAGGCAAATGAAGGGACTTCCTTCATAAATATCATGCCAAAAGATAGGTTATCTAAAAAGGCAAGTGAACGAACTGCCTTGGAAAATGAAAGGCCAATGGTAGACCACCACACCTATTGCCTAGTTGAATAACATATCACATAAGGAATCTGAACAGAGGCATGAACAAAATAGCTCAATAACCTCTAAACAACCTCTTGTATTTTCAATGAGAGAATCGATCTTTGAGTCTCTGTTGAGAAACCTCCCCCTTAATTCGTTGCAAAGAGAAAGCTTGAACCTAAAATCAACTAATCTAATCCAGATGAGAAAATTATGAGCAGGAAAGAAGATGAATATCCAACCAGAAAACCAAGCATGAAGGAAAAACAAATGCTGCATAGATGGCAGATCAAGAGCCATGATTGGTAGATGAATATCCAGCCTATTCGCAAAGCAGAACTTTCGAGTAAGCAATCCACCTATATTTCTAGAAGACTATGTAGTGGAAAATAAAAAGGTAATATCTAAAGGATGTTGCTTTTGATTTTTTCTATATTCAAAATAATGCTCTGATTGGGTGTAGAACATTTATTCTTTATTCTCATGAAATCTCTTGCATGAAAAATATTCTTCTGTAGATGTAACTATCTAGGAGCACTAGTAAGCCAAAAACACAAACCCAATTATCCAAACTTTAATTAGAACTTTTGCCTTAAGACTCTTAGTTTCATGGCATCTTGTAGCATTAATAATATTGTTGAGGTAGGGAGAAAATCTGACGTGGAATAAGTTGAGGAAAAATGATCTGAAACAACTTTGTTTGCCAATAAATTAGCCATAGAATTGCACTCACTGTTATATGTAAAAGCCCTCTTTAAAATTACTTGACCACCCCTGGGTTAGGTGGGAAATGAACCAAATACCTCTGCTTTGGTGATGTTTTAATCTGCATCTAATCCTGTACAACCAAAAATCTTGCTTGGACTGGTAAAAGGTTAGGTGAATCAATTCGAGTAGCCGCTTTATCTATAATCCCTTTCCTAGCCAAACAATTAGCCACCATATTGCCTTCTCTGTAAGTGTTAGCCANATCTATAATCCCTTTCCTAGCCAAACAATTAGCCACCATATTGCCTTCTCTATAAGTGTTAGCTAGTGAAAAAGATATATTACTCAAATTCCTAGAAATTCAAGCAATCAGACCTCTAATTTTCCATGGAATGCTTAATTTACCAGAAATTATATCCAAAAGCACTTGAGAGTCTGATTCAATGATGAATGGGTAAACCAACAAACCGTAATCCTCCAATAAGATCAAACCATCTAGCATAGCTCGAACCACCGCTTCCAGATTAGTATAATGCCCATAGCAAAATGAACCTACAACCACTAACTGACCCCATTGATTACGCAAAATAGCCCTTCCCCTAGCCTCTCCAGGATTGCCATGAGAAGCTCCATCTGTATTCAGTCTAAGAAAACCCTCTGGGGGCAGCTCCCACCTAATCTATAAAGTTGTATATAAAAGAGTAGTGTTAATTGGAACCTGTAGCTCATAAAGTAGTAACTCACTGTTGAGTGAATCAACAACCCTTGGCTTCACTTCATACCCTTGTAGCCTCAAGTAATATAAAATGATGGATACCAGATGTGAAGAATGCATCTTAACCCCCTCAAAAATTCTCCTACATCTTTCATTCCACAGCTGCCAGTAAATAAGGAGCGATATGTCTATGATTAATGAGTGGCTATATGAGTTTGTAGAAAAGGCCCTGGTTAGCCTTAAAAATCTCGCCATAGAAACCTTGTGCTGAATTAAACAAAATCCCATTATAGCAGCAAACTTGTTCCACAACTCCCTTGCAAAAGCACACTCAATGAAGATGCGTAAATAAGACTCCTCCCCCTCACAACATATAGGACATCTACTAGCCAATGATACCCCAATCTTCTGAAAGCTTTCCTCCATAAGTAAGGCCTGCTTGAAAATCTTCCACCCAACCAGTAAAGCACTAGGGGGAACATATTGTTTCCAAATACCAGAGGAAATAACACTCTTTTGGCGTCTGTCTGTTATCAAATTCCAAGCAGATTTGACTGTAAATAAACCTAATTCATTCAATTGCCACACCAATTGGTTTGGGATATTAGTTAACTCTACAGAGAATGAGTGAATTCCTTGTCTCCCAAACCCCCTTCTTCTAATGGTAGAGTTACAACCTTCCAGGAACACCAATGTCTCTTCTTTGTATCTCTACTATTAGACCAGAGGAAATGACTTATAGCAACATTAAGTTTAGCCAAACTACCCTTTCAAAGATTTAGACAAGAAAGTAAATGAGTAGGCAAAGCATTCAAAACATATTTAAGTAGCACTACTCTGCTCATATGTGATAGTAGTTTAGAGTACCAACCTTCCATCTTCGCTTGGAATTTTTGAACCAGATCCTCAAAATAAATTAGCTTAGACCATCCTTTAATAATAAGACACCCCAGATATGTAATAGGACAAGACTTTAATTGAATCCCATCAGTCCTCTGCAAAACAATTCTTCTAGGTAATGATATCATAGAAGAGAAATACAATGAACTTTTATTCTTATTCACCCTTTGACTAGATGAAGCCTCATACTGCTTAATAAAATTTAGTAAATTCACCATATAAGACTTATTTCCTCTCAAGAACAGTAAAGTGTCATTAGCAAACAACAAATGGCTCAATATTCTAGGAACTCTACCAATATGAAAAGGCTTAATTATTCCAGTTTGGAATATGTTAGTCAATCCCCTGCTCAACACCACTTCTACAATAATGAACAACCTTGGGGAGATGGGATCACCTTGCCTCAATCCTCTTTAGGTAGGCAAAAAAACCAAACCTCTGCCCATTCACAGAAACAGAAATATTCTGGTTCGATAAACAGTTTCCTATGATTGTAATAAAACTAGGAGTGAAATCAAAACTTAGTAGAGTTTGTTTTAGAAAATCCCATTCCATTATGTCATAAGCCTTCATCATATCTACCTTAAGCATCAAGTTTCCCCCTTCCACTTTTCTGTCTAGCTCATTAAACATCAACTATGCAATAGAAATACAGTCCCCTATATATCTTCCTTTAATGAAACCATGTTGCTCTGTAGAAACAATAGAAGGCAAGATAATACTTAACCTATTGGCTAGAAGTTTAGTAAAAATTTTGTAAACCAAATTGGAAAGACTTATTGGTCTAAAGTCAGAAAAAGAGGTTGGATTTGTTTTCTTTGGGATCAAAGATAATAGGGTAGCATTAACAGATCTTTGGACCATACCTCCCCCATGGAAAAAATTGACTGCAGCCAGAATGTCCCACCTTATTATATCCCAAGTCTCATGAAAAAATATCCTAGAAAATCTATCTGCACCTGGAGCACTCTCAGCTGACATAAAGAAAACTATCTCCTTCACCTCCTCCATAGTTGTTTGATCTGTAAGCATATCATTTTTCTACCTGTGACACCAACTTGGGAATGACAGGGAAATGCTCATCTTCCAAACTATGTTTTTTCGAAGTATAAAGTTTAGCGAAGAATTGTATAACACCATCTGCAATATCTTTCTCATCTTCTAGCCATATTCCTTCCTCATTCTTAATTCTTTTAATTCTATTTCTAAAAAATTTGCTCTTGGCAACAACATGGTAAAATTTAGTGTTCCTTTCTCCTTTTATAGCCCACCTCATATTTGCCTTTTGTTTCTAGTATATTTCCTCCAACCTTAGAGTATTATCCAAATCTTGCTTGGCCCTTTCCAAGAATAATAAATTAGACTCTGAATCATTTTCTTCTATAGCCATTTTAGCATGCATTAAAATCGTTTCCTTCTTCTTAATCTTCTCAAAAATATTACCAAAAATTTCTTTGTTCCACTGCTTCAAGTGAGACTTTAAAGTTTTCAATTTCAAAAATACATTCTCAATAGGATTCGATGAATAATTCCCCCTCCACTTTTCAGCAATCAAGGACTTAAATGAGGAGTGTTGAACCCACATGTCTTGAAACTTAAAATAGGCGATCTTGTGGACATTAGGAGTATCCTAGATGTTAATCAACAAAGGACAATGATCTGAATTACCTCTAGCCTTGTGTATCACTTCTGTAGAGTCAACTTTCACACTCCAATGCAGATTAACTGACACTCTATCCAGCCTCTGCCATATCCTTGCTCTACCTTGACGTTTGTTGCACCAAGTAAAGTCACTACCAAAATAGCCACAGTCTATTAAACCATTTGTCTAAATGAAATTCCCAAAATCTTCCACAGTAGAGATTGAAGGAACTACTCCCCTTCTTCTTTCTCCAGATTAAACAACTGTATTGAAATCCCCTGCCACCATCCATTGCATTGAGTTTAACTAAAAATTACTTAAATGCTCCCAAAGTGGTCTTCTTAGCATGTGATCACACTGTGCATACACCATAGAAATCCAAAAAGATATCGACCCCAAGTAAGCAACCTCTACTGCTAGAGCTTGTAAATGAGTATCCACCACCCTCATTGATAACCTTTGATCCCATAAAATCCATAAGTACTTCTCAGCTCTAACATTAACCTCATAATATGACATGTTCAAATACTTAGCTAAGCCAGCCAGACTGTGCACTCCTTGTTTAGGTTCCAGAATAGCCACAAAGCAAATATCATGTAATTTTAATAGCTTCTTCAGACGCCTCTTTTTAAGGCCTTTCCCTACACCTCTTATATTCCATAAAATTATTTTAATCATTTAAAATTTCTTGGATTTTTAAAATCGACCAGATTTAGATTTGGTTACCATGCCATGAGTTGCCACTGTGTTCCTCAAATATGAACTATAACTATCATCAGCATCCGAACCTTGAGAACCTACCTCTACAGGTTGAATATTGTTAGGGGTATCTCCATCTGAGTAATATCCTCTATTTGGGGGTTCCTTAGAATAAACTAAGCTCAATCCCTCATCCAAGCTAACATTAGAAAGCTTACTACATGTGAATGCATGATCCATATAATAAGTAGAGTCTGCAAAATGCAAAGATATTTGGTTACTAACACATAACTCCTATCCCACCTCCTTATCATGTTGCTTCTCTTTATTTTTAACTGGAGACACAAGTTTTACTTGTTTCATTATTCTTTGGACTTCTACCTCTTCACTTACCTCCCCATGCATTATCAAATTATCATTTTGTAATTCATCCTTATGCCTCCTAATTTGTTCCAGGTCCTCACCCTTTGGACTCATTGACGAATGGACTCCAATAGAAGTCGGTATAGGTGCATTATTTCTTGTAACTGGTAGCTGCTTTTCCTCCATAGGCTCTAGAGATGCTTGATTCACAGCTACAAAATCTTGAACAAGATTTCCACAATCTGGAGTTGCCTTTAATAGAATATCCATACCCAAATTAGTTGTAGTATCTTTACCAAAGTGCTCTCCTTCTTCCATGGCTTTAAATGATTCACCTACTCCCAAATCCTTTTCTTTAAAACTGTAATTAATGGTCTTTCCAAATTCAATATTTTTTTCTTTTTGGGAATTACTTACTTGGGTTGATTTCTGTTTCTACTTCCAAATTTCCTTACTAGGCTGAGCTAAATTTGGTTTCTTAATTTAGATTGATTGATCCTTTGACCAGTAGATTCCTTTCACATGTTTCCATCAATTTTAATTTGTTATTTCGCCTTTCCTTTATTCTGCTTACCTCTTTTCTTTTCTACCCCTACGTCTTTGGAAACTGAATCTTTCCCTTTGTCCTCCTCTAGTAACACTGACACCTTCCTTTTCCTACATTCTTACTCACCATGGCCTAGCTTTCTGTAAGTTTTATAGAATTGCTTATTTCGCTCATAGATTATTTGTTGCCATCTAGCACCCTCGTCACCCATGTCAATCCATATCCTAGATAGATTGTTCAACAGGAGGTCAACTTCCACACATACTCTTGCCACACCCAGCCATGATTGAGATAAAGTAGCTTGATCATAGGCCAGTACTCTTCCAATAGGCTTGACCAGCAGTTCCAAATACTGCTTCTTAAAAATTTTTAAAGGTAATCCAGGCAATGAAACCCACATAGGTACCACGGATGGCTCAATACCTGGAATAAAGCCCAAAAACCACTTAAAGAATCTGAATAGGTAGTCTTCTATTAGAGTAGCATCCGCCAGCCATGTCTTCACATAATCCTCGTGAAGTTGGAACCTCAGCAAAATATGCCTCTAATCAATGGATCCAACTTCAATGTTCCCTTTAGATTCCATTTGGATCTAATCACTTCTTTTATAACTCCCAGGGAAGGTCTACCAAAATAACACTTACCAATCAACGTGTATTCCAGAGTTTGGCATGAATTCTGCACCTCTTCATTAGTAAAGTAAAAAGTTGGCTCCCCTTTATAGAAAATTATAGGCTTTTCTAATTTTTCTAGAATCAATCCATAAGGAACTTGTTGCGGTTGTTGTTTGAATAGTGATGCAAAGGTTTGCTATGTGGTGTTTGAATGTGTTTGATATTACTAAGTAGCCCAAAGAGGAAGAAGAATTGCATGTAGTAAATTGCATTGAGTCATTAACTCAAGATCCGTTTGAAAATGCTTGTACAAAGAAAGAGTCACATGCATTAAAGTCTGTACAAAACATTGAGTCTATATATATGTCAACTATTGAAACGTGGATTCCAAAATTTGAAAAATNTGTACAAAACATTGAGTCTATATATATGTCAACTATTGAAACATGGATTCCAAAATTTGAAAAGTTATTGCCTTCTGGAACTAAGTCTGTAGAGTCCAGTATTATAGTTACCAAACCAAAGTTGAAATCTCTTCCGGCTGACTTAAAATATGTCTTCTTGGGGGAAGATGAAACTCATCCAGTGATAATATCTTAAAATTTTTTAAAAGTCTAAGAAAAGCAATTGATAGAAGTTATAAAAAAAATCATAAAAGTGCAATTGGTTGGACGATAGTAAATATAAATGGCATAAATTCTCTTCTCTATACTCACTATATGTACTTGGAAGAAGATTCCAAACCGTCCCAACAGCCACAAAGAAGGTTGAATCCACATTTGAAAGAAATAGTCCGGCTAGAAGTGCTTAAATATTAGATGCTGATATTATATATCCCATATTTGATTGTAAATGGATCAACCCTACACAAGTAGTGCCTAAAAATTCTGGTGTCACGGTCATGAAAAACCAAGAAAATGAATTAGTCCCTATACGTACATTCACTGGTTAGCGTATGTGTATTGACTATCGAAAGTTGAATTTTCTCACCATAAAAGATCATTTTCCCCTACCTTTCCCAGATCAAGTTTTGGAAAAAATAGCTGGACATGTTATTTATTGTACTTTGGATGGATATTCCAGCTATAACCAGATTGAAATAGCAATTGATGACCAAGAGAAAACCACTTTTACATGTCCCTTTGACATTTTTGCTTATAACAAAATGCCTTTTCAATTGTTTAATGCTCCAGCCACATTTCAGCGTTGTATGTTAATCATTTTTAGGGATATGGTGGAGTAGTTTTTAGAAGTTTTCATGAATGATTTTTTAGTGAATGGTGATTCATTTGAGTTATGTTTAGAGAATCTTGAAAAAGTCCTTACTCAATGTGAGGAAACAAATCTTGTTTTGAATTGAAAAAAGTGTCATTTTTATGGTCACACAGGGCATTGTTTTAGGACATGTAGTTTCTGCAAAAGGAATTGAAGTTGACAAGTCCAAAATTAATTTAATAGTCAATCTTCCTCCACCTAAGACTGTAAAAAAAGATGTTCGATCCTTTCTAGGTCACAAAAGATTCTATAGAAGATTCATTAAAGATTTTAGTTTGATATCTAGACCTATGTGCAATCTTCTATGTCAGGATGTATCATTTGATTGAAATGATTCATGTCAATCAGAATTTGATAGACTTAAAAGCATTATTATTTCTGCACGAATTATGCAACCTCCTGATTGTTCTTTACCTTTTGAATTAATGTGTGATGGTAGTGACTATGCAGTAGGAGTTGTTTTAGGTCAAAGAAAAGATAAAAAAGCCCGATGTGATTTATTATACAAGCCAAACTTTGAATGATGCACAGATGAATTACTGTACCACAGAAAAAGAATTTCTTGCTATAGTATTTGCTTTAGATAAATTTCGTTCATATTTAGTTGGATTCTCAATTGTTGTTTTTACTAATCATGTAGCCTTGAAATATTTACTCACTAAGAAGGATTCTAAACTATGTCTCCTATGATGAATATTGCTACTACAAGAATTTGATCTTATCATCATACACAAGAAAGGAGTTGAAAAATGTTGTTGCTTATCATCTCTCAAGGCTGAATTATGATACAAAAGAAGAGTCAATACCAATCAAAGAAACTTTTCTAGATGAGCAGTTGTTTGAAATTACAAAAGTACCATGGTATGCAGATATAGCCAATTACTTAGCCACATGTTCTACTCCTTTTTATTATACCTAGACCGACAAGAAATTTTTTTTAAGAGAGGTACACAATTACTTTTGAAAAGATCCCTATGTGTTTAAGTACTACAAAGATCAGACAATCAGGCGTTGTGTACCAAATTATGAAATAGGCTAGGGCATTTCGTTTTGTCATTCTGAAGCTTGTGGGGGGCATTTTTCTTCAAATAAAAATGCTACTAAAATTTTGCATTGTGGAATTTATTGGCCTACTCTTTTTAAAAATGTACATGCCTTTTGTCTAAATTGTGACACATGTCAAAAAAGGGAAATATTTCAAAAAGAAACATGATGCCTCTGAACCCTACTTTGGTCATTGAAATTTTTGATCGTTGGAGAATCGATTTAATGGGACTATTTATCCCATCCTTTAGAAATCAATAAATTTTGGTTGTCATTGATTATGTTTCCAAATGGGTAGAGACAATTCCTTGTCGAAACAATGATCACCACATAGTGATCAGGTTTTTAAAAGAAAATATTTTGTCCAGATTCAAAATTCCTCAAGCTAGTATCAGTGATGGGGGAACATATTTTTGTAATAAATTTTTTGAAAACCTAATGAAAAGGTATTGAATTTCACACAATGTATCTGCCCCTTATCATCCCTAGAAAAGTGGACAAACTGAATTGGCCAATAGAGAGATAAAATATATTTTGGAAAAATTAGTCAATCCAAATCGCAATATTGGTCTTTAAAACTGATTCATGCTCTTTGGGCTTAACATACTGTAGACAAAACTATTATGGGAATGTCTCCTTATCGGCTAGTTTATGGTAAACCATGTCACTTCCCAGTGGAATTGGAACATCGAGCATACTAGGCAATCAAAATAATGAATTTAAAGAATCGAGAAATGAAGCATATAAAAATGCAAAGGTTTCCAAGTCTAGAATGAAAATTTTTCCCGATAAGAATAGTGTGGAAGTCCTTTGAACCTTCTCAAAAAGTCCTTTTATATAATTCAAGGTTTCACTTAATTTTGGGAAAATTGAGATCAAGATGGACATGCCCCTACATTGTTAAACAACTTTTCAAACATGGGGCAATTGAAATTGAGAATTCATTAACTTGTAGCATTTTTAAAGTGAATGGTTAAAGGCTTAAGCCACATCATGATGAATTTTTTCAAAGTGTGGATTACATTTAGTTAATGGAATTAGAATAAGTGCCTTGAAAAGTTTTTATAAATGTTTGATTGTAAATAGTAGTACTATCTGTTTTCTTTTTGTTTTTATAGATTAGGGTTTTGCATTATGGATTGGTCTCGCCTCCAGATATTATTAGAAATTGTCTATCATTTACTTTATAATACCATATTTTGAGGACAATGTTAAATTTAGGTTGGAGGAATGGAACAATCCATATTCGTCTTTGTGACCGGTAGATGTTAAAGAACCGAATAGTGAGTCTTTTCTATTTTCTTTATCAAATTTTTTTTCAAAAATGGATGAAATTTTTTATTTGGTTTAGTTTAGGTATGTTACATGCTTTTCCGAAAGATATACACTCTTTGATCATAGAAAAAGCAAAGGTTGTTAGAAAATTAGAAATTTTTGGCTGTCAAGCAAAATCTTTGTGCGAAAAAAGTTCATTTGCCAAATGCCGATGAGCAAATCAACTGTGTGGATGTGTAAAATGCGGTCGATTAATGAATATGAGAGAATATAATCAATGTGTTGAACAAATTTCAAGTCAAACATTAGATCATCATGACTAGATTAAGTATGAGCAGAATAAGGATTACCCTGAGACACTATCTTATTCCAGTCTCATGCTTGCAAGATATGTGTGATGAGAGATTAATCGATTCAGTAATGTCCTCGATTTAGAAGATTCTAATTAAACTTAAATTGATAAAAAATTTATAATCTTAGGATTTGTATGAATGTATATAACTATTGGATGAATTAGTGTAATAAGCTTGGATTTAAGTTATTAAATAGTTAAATGTGTAAAA